TAAACGCAACGATTGAACACAAATAAAACAATTTATTATTTACAGAATAAATAAAACCAATTATTAAGTTTAAACAACACTTTATAAAACAATAGATTAATTCAATAGTTTATTATTATTGTTTGAAAATAAACTTACAATTACTTAAAGGCAGTGAAAAAGTGCAAATAAATAAAAAGAAGCAATATAACAACAATTACTTTAAAATTATATTGTTGATTTTGAAAAACAATTATTCTGTATGCATGCTTACAATTAAATAATAAACATTTATTTTTACACATATTTCTAAATATATTGCGTAAACAAATAGTGGAAACATTTTCAACATTAATTAGTTTTAATAAAATTGTTTTAAACAACGAATTGTTGTAAAAGTATTCAATGACATAATCGAAGAGCACTAACAGTAACAATGATTTTATGAAAATCGAGGTGTATTTTTGTAATATCTATTTTGAGTGTCTTTATAATTAATTTGAAAGTAAGTCTAATATTGAAACTTACTTTTGTCTACTAGTAGTAGACGAAGAAGTAGTGACGGACTTAGTAATGGTGACACTAGAACTGGTGGATCCCAGTCCGCCGCCGCCTAACTCAACCTTTTCAGTCCGTTTTTCAATCTGTTTTGGCTCTGCCTCTGAAAAACCATATGTCATGTTATTTTGAAAATTATTTATATCCACTTCACATACAAAATATAAAGCAATTTTGTTCACAGAATTAAAAAGCAGTGAAATAGAAAAGAATTACAAATATATATATATATTTTGCAAATACTGGTCACAAACTAAAGCAAAACACAAGCGTTTTTCTTAAATAAATATGAGATTTGATAGCAAAAAATTTCTTCGTTTAAAGTGGTGTTTATTTTATTTGTTTTTTGAAGTATAAGTAATCAATAGTAATATTATAATTAAATTTATATCATATTCTTATTGTGTCATTGATTTGATATCTATTTCTTTCATTTTTGATTCAATATCGTTGACCAATGGATAATAGATTGATGTCATGGGTTGGGCTGTTTTGGGACACGGATTAGACTCGAGACACTCCTCCGGTAAAACCAGCCGAAGACGAATAACTGGTGCCTAACTGATGATTGTTCACTGTTTTCCACAATTATAAAGGTATACAGAATTAGTGATAAAGTTATAAATTGATTACTTCTCTGACATTATGTGTTTTCATTACAACTAATTAAATAATTATATTAAGAATATCTTTCATTTTTATTAAAATTTTACAATAAACTAAAAACACATAATAATGTCAGCACTAATTGTTAATTATTATAAGAGACATACCGTCTATATTTTTGAATTCCTCTAAACAGACAAGTTTTGGGCCTTTTGTTCATTTAATGTAATAAATAAACAAGAATTAGATTAAAGTAACATTTAAAATGATAATGTATGAGAGAGAGAGAGAGAGAGAGAGAGAGTGTGCAGAAGAATATGTATTGAATAATAAATATAAGATATTAGAGAAACTAAACGTTGAAAATACTATTTGAATCAATCGATTGAGTTATCGTTGACACCAAATAAATGATCGGACGGACAATAGG